TAATAAATATAATAAATATAAATATATATATAATAAATATAATAAATATAAATATATATATAATAAATATAATAAATATAAATATATATATAATAAATATAATAAATATAAATATATATATAATAAATATAATAAATATAAATATATATATAATAAATATAATAAATATAAATATATATATAATAAATATAATAAATATAAATATATATATAATAAATATAATAAATATAATAAGAATAAATATTTAATTATATAATATAATATAAATATATATAATAAATAATAATAACAGTTGTAATCACAGTAACGATGATGATAACAAGAATATACCACTGAAAGATGTTAATAATAATACCAATAACAATTCTAAACTGTTGAATGTGTAAAAACGGATAGATGTTGCAACAAACGAGTTTAGTGAAGAAAACGAGACAATGTTTCTGTCAGGATTCAGCAATTTATCCAATTTTCCCGAAATTTGCTCGTCGAATTAATATCGTACAACTGGTTGAAAAATGGAATGAAAAAATAAACATTGGAACACTAGTTTTAAAAAAACAGAGAAGTTAATATATTGGCGAGTTAGTTAAAAAATGGTTGATTGATTTTACTTCATTCGGAATATTGAACTATACTTCCAGAAGATTGCTTTCCCCCTCCCCGGAAAAAAATTTTGAGGATTTCTGTTATTCCTCGATTTCGAATATACCAGAAAATTGTGTACTGTTCCTGTCGCTTTATATAATTCCAGTCAAACAATATCAATAATAATAGAATTGGTGAATTCTAAAATTCTAATAATAATGAAATTAATAAACTAATCAAGTGCTAGTGATAGGTCCGAACTTTTGTTAAACGTTAGCTCGGCTAGAAATCTAAAATCAGTCGCGCCACGAATAAAAATTCACCGGAGGAAAAAAAAATGAACCGGCCGTCGGGACTGGTCGATTGATCAACTCACGCGTGTGATTTCTTCCTGAAAGGCATCTCGATTCATCTGTCTGCCCCTTTGTCGATATCGTTCCTCCCTTTGACGAGGAATTGACGTGTCGCAAAGCGATTGACGGATGCCGCCATCTCGCCGAATAATCGCAAAAATCAACAAATTCCCCGTTCGAATTCGTGCACAAGTGAAATAACATACTGGCGAATATATTTGTAAAGTATTAACAAATCAACCAGTGCAGCACTAATTGCGTTGCAATTAATCTTTACAGATATCTCTTTCATTTAAAATACTATTTCACCCAGCAATGAATCTCAAATCCAATTGTCTTGGATAGAAAATTTCGCTCCGTGTGAAATTGCTTCCAACGTTGTTTCCAAAGTTGTGTTAATAATACGTCTTTTCATCTTGTCCCAAATGAAAAACCTTGATTCGCATGAATGGAAAATACAGTTTGATATTTGAAAAAAAGAAATGGAGCGTGTTTCCTTGGAATGAAAAGTCAGTCAGTCGTGAAAAAAATGGCAACTTCGTGAAAGTTCACTATCGCGGGACGCGTGATGCATCTTGATAATTCGCGAAATGAGATAATTGGGGCGGTGGAAGATTGATAATGGAGAACGGGGGGGGGAAAAAAGTGACTTATAGTTTCATTATTAACTGTAGTAAGATTGATAATGGAGAGCGCGAGAAAAAGTGATTTATTATTATTAATCGTTAGGGTTGGAGTGTAAAGGTGGCTTCGTCTTTCAGTAATTTGAATAAACGAACAAAAGTTGGCTTGGATTCAATCAAGAAGGAAATTAGATTTTTAATCACGTTTCAATCAACTTGCATTAATGAGCAACAATTTTTTATAATTTCTATAAAAATTTACTTATTATTGCTATTATTAAGTGTATTCGTTTATTAAAACATTCATTAACTTAATCAGTTTGTTGAATTTTTTTAATCAACTTTTAGCGATGAATTCACTTTTCCAATCAGCATATATTTTTCCATCCCGTTCGATTCCTATTGTCCCATTATTAAAAAATTTATTTATTTTTCCGTGTGTTTCATCAAATATCGATAAAAGTTGATATGCAATCACTTCTATCTAAATTGTTCCACGGATAACGAATCCAATTCTTCACGGAAAACAGAAGATACAATAATATACAATTTCGCTAATTAAAACCAAAAGAGACCACTGTCCCACTATAGAGTACATTTCATTTTATGTGGGAAACGAATGAATTTTTATTTCATAAAATAAACACTTTGACTGTTCACTGCGACAGGCGAATTACATATTAATTGATTTCTGTCTCACTGTCTTATAAAATTTTTCAATGAAATGAAGCCTCGCTTCACTCGTGAATTGTATTTATTTTATTTTGCAAAAACATAAATTGCAATACAACTTGCCTCGAAATTACAAGCTCGAAACAGCT